ATCGTGTGTAAAAACGCATATTTTATTAGATATATAAATATATTTATTCAAACCGTTATTGAGTTTATTTTATTGTATGATATCGTAGGTAGTAGCTGCCTGTAGTGTGGTGCGTAAATACTTTCTGGCAGGTCTGTATCTCATCTTGGGGTTAAACTATCCCCCAGACTCTGACTCATGTTTCTGCTCAGATTCTGCTCAGAAGACCTAAAGAAATACACACTTCGTATTTCATTTTTTTTTGTAGGAACAATTAAAAATATACTTGCCAGTGAAATACATATACCGGCAGATAAACAAGTGTTGAAGGGGTTTAGCAGTGCACACACAGTCACTGATCCTTCAGATCAGGTGAGTAATGATTTGTGTGCGTCAGTGATGGCTTTTCAGTCTCACATTCAGTCTCTGTTTATTACAGTTCATTTATAGTCTGATGTTATTTATCACTTTGTCAACTCTGAAAAAAAGACAGAAGTAGTAATTTTCTGCAACTACACATAGGATATGTTAGCCTATTTATGTTACTTCATCACAATGTCTTATCCTGTCAGCATTTCTTATACTAGTTGTGGCTACCCTTCTTAAAGCTATGTTTTTAAAATCAAACTTTATTATGAGGTAGCATAATCACATTACTCTATGTGCATTATTGCTATTCAGTATAAAATTATTGGTAGTTTCACATCGGAAAATAAGGCAGGCCTTAGGCTTACCCAACTTTTAGGCTGACTAAATTTTATTTGCACTGCACGTAGCCCGGTTAGGAGATTTTGAAATAGAGAAACAGTGGAACAAATGAAAAGAAGCTTCTGCATACGGATTTCACAACAACAATTGTAGTAGCAGAAAGAGTGTTCTCAAAACTTTCTGTTCACCAATTGTCTTGTTCTATTATCCAGATAGTTTTCGCAGCTGTCTACGAGTTTTTGTTCTACAGTTCAAAACAAACCATATCCAAAATCCAATTGAACCAATTGTTTGTGCCTACTTTTCCTACCATTTAAGATTCGTATTAGTTGGGAGAATTCCAGGACGATTCAAGACAACATTCTGCTGATGCAAGCTATGTCTTTGTCGAGTCTTACTAAAACGACAAAGAGAAACAACACGTTGAAGTAAATAATGATGTTTGAAATCAACCAAATTTAATCTTGTTTATTCAACAACAAAAAATTGGGCAGGCCTTATGAACACTGAATGTAAAACAGGTTTCTATTTGAAACAGAGATGTCACACAATTTATTTTTGGTCAAATGTTCAATGTAAACATTGTGACATTTATCACATCATATATAATTGTCATTGAACGTCACAGCCGTTAATGATGTGCATCATGTTTATGTTATAAATAGCATTGGTTATCTGATGGTACCTGTTTTGTCTATATTCGCTTTGTCGCTTTGTCGTCATTATTAGCTTATGTGAGTTTGGTGTGTTCATGTGTGAGTCTGTGTAAGGTACTTATGTATGCGGGCATGACTAGTTTTGGGGCCATGTCCGTCCATATTAAGTTGCTAATTTGCATGTTTATTATTTCAGTTCAGTCTGTGTAAGCCTAAGGTCAAACAATTCTGAGTGGATTTTGATCAAATTTAGTTACCTAGGTAGTTTTGTATAATGCACAGACATGATTAGTTTAGGGGCCATGTCCATGCATATTAATTATCTCATTGCAGTTAAAAGCAAAATCTCAAAAATTTCTTAGTGGATATTGATCAAATTTAGTTACCTAGATAGTTTTGGATAATGCACAGACATGACTAGTTTTGGGGCCATGTGCATGAATATTAATTATCTCATTTCAGCCTGTTTAAGCAAAATCTTAAAAACTTATGAGCGGAAATTGATCAAATGTAGTACATAGGTTCATTTGGGTAATATGCAGACGCGATTAAATTTAGGGCTGTCAGTGTTCTCACCAGATTTTGTTTTTGTGGGGCCAATAAGGCCCATCGTTTGAAAAAAGCAAGGCCATAAATTATAAATTGGGAACTGGGGTAAATTGGTTTAGGGAAATGTCCACCTACCTGTCAACGGATGAAAATTTCCATGGTGTAACCATATGGGTAAATAAAATTGGGTCAAGGTGAAATTGCAGCTCTTATTGAGTTAACATTTATAAATAATCATAAAGTCATCCCACACATTAGTTTAACAAATGTTTATTCCATTACTATTAATATAATTTATAATACCAGTAATAAACATCAACTACAGTACATCAAATCGTCATCATCCCTGTAATTCAGCCATGGATGAGTTGTTAACCAACTTCGCTGAAATTGTTGATGATCATTGGCTTTATTATTAGTGACACTCTCCACAGTCTACAGCTACTACGCTATCAGACTATCAGCTATCAGCATTTTGTGTGTCTGGTGGAACACTAAGACTTTCTAAAGGTACTTCCCAGTATTCTGTCGCCGGGTTTTCAGTCCATGGCTGATACTGTGAGCATCATGTACCGAATCAGGGTTCTGGCAAATTCCAAAATTAAATAAAAGTTCTCTGGCGTTACGGCTTGCTCATGACGGCCATTCCATGAGGCTTGAAATGTGTTTCGTATATTGCTAGACATTGCTCAATTTTTGGACCTCTTGAGGGAATAAATTACTACATTGATAGCGCCACCATGCGGTCAAAATGGGAAAGCCATTTGGACGCAATTTTTTTTTTCTGTGCCAAATGTGGCCCGATTTAATTGAAATTTTGCACCATATTTTTAAATATTGTGCAAATGGCACATCCCATTTCAGTCTGTGGAGGCAAAACTTCAGATTTTGATTAAATTTGCTACCAGTATATATTGGTGCTGGACATAATCTGCTGGACATAATCTTAACCTCTAATGCCATTGCACTCTCGCTGACTTTTGGAAATATTCATTTCTAAGACATGTTTTATAAAAAAACAGTGATTGCATATTTCATATTTACAAAGAGTTTAACTTTGATCAAAGGTGTGGTAGATTATGATTT